CCATTGTGATCGTCAGCTAGGTCGCTCACGCTGGCCCGAATACCATACGTGCTCCGGCACAGGGACGTTCCCATAGCGATCTCTGGGGCGATATCCAAACCCTTCACCGAGCGTTTCGCTGGCGGCCTCAGCCAAGTTCGCAGTCCAGCCTGTGGTCTACGGGTCTGGACCGTGCTTAGCGGGTTCAGCCTGTGGTCGGCCTGTGATCCACGGGTCTAGCTTGTGATTCACGGCCCAGCCTGTGGTCCACGGGTCTGGACCGTGGTTAACGGGTTCAGCCTGTGGTCGGCCTGTGATCCACGGGTCTAGCTTGTGGTTCACAGCCCAGCCTGTGGTCCACGGGTCTACACCGTGGTTCACGGGTTCAGCCTGTGGTCGGCCTGTGATCCACGGGTCTAGCTTGTGGTTCACAGCCCAGCCTGTGGTCCACGGGTCTAAACCGTGGTTCACGGGTTCAGCCTGTGGTCGGCCTGTGATCCACGGGTCTAGCTTGTGGTTCACGGCCCAGCCTGTGGTTCACGGCCCAGTTTGTGATTCACGAACCAGCCTGTGATTCACCGCTCAGCCTGCGGTCCACTGGTCCAGCCTGTGGTCCACGGGTCCAGCCTGTGGTTCACTGGTCCAGTTTGTGGCCCACAGTCCTCACCAGCGGTTCGCGAACCTCCGCATCGCCGCCGGACCACCATCCAGCGAGAATCCCATTGGTTCGGTCTAGCCAGGCCGGCCAGAAGGCAGCTGACCTTTCAGGGGCGTCGACCCCCGCCCCCGGCCGCTCGCAGCTCGGCGGCGTGACCCTGCGACCTTTCGCTGGGACCGCCGATGTTCACATGCGACCTAGGCGGTCCGACAGTGCCCGGGGCCCAGCGTGCCGCTTGACCCAACGTGCCTGGTGACGCTTGGGACCTCAGCGATCAGTACGGTGTGGCGGCAAGAACAAAACTGGGAATAAGTCACGTGGTCCCGTCTACGATGCGTGACGTTCATCACGAGAGAGATATGGAGGCGTCCCCCCCCCCCCCCCCCCAACTACTGTTTGTTGGGGGTACCAAGCGATGTTACCAGCCCGTTTTCTCTTTGGAGTATAACTTGCACGTGTTGTTTTCAGACGCATTTCAACTTTCCACACGTGGCAGCCTAGATTGCACTCCTGCCCATTGCAATGTTTCTCCTCGAGTTGGAAACGCATCCCACCCCCGCCTCATTCCGATTCTAATCTCCCGTTTGTCATGGATACCAGGCTGTGTGATGACACGCCAAATTTGGCAATGCAAGGTCTAAACGAGAGCGTGACAGCCGCAGCGCCTGTGGATACTAGTCGAGAAGGGCCGTGTAGGGATTTTTAATCCAGCATGCGCACACAACATGCACTGTAACTAGTACAAAGCGCGCAGGTATTTGCCAGCCAAATGCAAATCTGTGTATTGTGCGTCTATCACGTGATTCGAGTTTGTGTCACCTCTCAGCGTCTGTACCCAGTATCTGTGTCAGTATTTGTGTCAGTATCTGCGTCAGTATCGGTGTTCCTGTCCTTGCTCCCACCTGACGAAGCGGCCTCACATCCCTCATGACCTGGGCGTCCTGGGAGGCGGCTCGGGGCAGCCACCTGCTCAGCGGGTGGCGGCCAGGAGCTCGGGTCGGGTGGGGACCGCTGTCGAGCCGGGCTGGTTTTTCTCTTGCCATCCGTATTAAAGCTGCAATCACATTTTGGCATCCGAACACGCCCATTCGTGGCGAGATGAGGCTTGAACTTCCATACTTCATTTTCCTGATGCCACGATCTTGAACTATCGAGCTAGCTGTTATGGTGGAGGCATGCAAGGCAGTGCGACCGGAAGGCAGTTTACTACGTCCATGGATGAGGGGCTTTGAGTCACCAATACACCCTATCATCGCTCGGTTCAAATAATGGATCTGCCATTGGTCTCACGGGATACTGCCATGTTCTTAGGCGAGTCACTGATATGCTTAATGAACACAACTACCCCTGTTTTATCCCCCGGACTGCTTTGATCGCGCAAAAAAACGACACGCTTATGAACCCCAGCGGAAACATTTCATGGCGTTGACAACTAGAAACGATGCGTGCGCATATATCCGCATGGCTTGTGACGACACAGACATGCTAACACGACGTATGGTCGGATGCCGGCGGGAAGAACGGCACGGATAGATCCGACAAAACATGTCCCGGTGCCTGCAGGCTCGTTCACGGGCGGCAGCTGGTCGCCGCAGCTGGCAGCACGCGTGCACACTTCACTGAGCCAGCCAGGAGCCGGCTAAATATACGCCTGCGTCGGCTGAATTAACCGCTATCGGCAGCTTGGGGTGTGGCCGAGATACGACCCGTTTTACACGCAGGCGAGCAGCGCGACGGAAAATCGGTGAGGTCACGGCTCTTTGTGCCCCGTTGACACGGCGCTGTATGCTTGCAGGCGTCGAGCGAGATAAAGGACGCTTAGCAACTGCGTGGCGCTGATGTCCGGACTTGGTGGGTGTGGGGTTTGACCCAGCGCGGGGTCAGTCTCGCAGCCAGTCTCTGCAGCTGCAGTGCCGCACCACTCAGTGCCGGCCGCCGCTGGCCCATTGTCTGCGGCGGTCAGCCTGCGAGGCAAACAGGTGTTGCATTGTCTGCTCCACCATTGTCACTAATTGGCACGGCGCGGCTAGGAACGCATACGGATTCGGCCATTTGCATTTGACCGTGGCACGTGGGAGAGCGTCGATTTAATTTGACGGCCCGTGGCGTGATACCAAATGAAACTTGAACTTGTTTGGTGTCAGGTTTTTGTCTCGCCCCAGCGGACACGTGAATGGTATTGCTCAAGCCATTCGCCCGAGGTTGTGTTGGAGCTTCGGCGCCATTGTTTACGCCATCGATCCACCAGAAGGGCTTCCGGCCAGCCGACTAGGCGGGAAGCCGCCGGGAGATTGGACAGCTGTTAAAAACGCATTACCGTAGACTCAAATCGGGGATTGGGGATGCATACGTTTATTCCATTGACTATCTGGTCAGGCTGATATGTTTCTGCAGGGGCTAAATTGATAGCGTAGGTTTTCAGTTTTTGAGATCCGTTGTGAACTATTTTGTGTGATTATTCTGAAACCTAAATTCAATAGGCAAAATCTCAACCAGGAGTGACGAAAAACGCCTTTAAGTTTGGGGAAAATATAAAAGGGGGAATCAAGCAGCCGATTGTTTGTCTGAGAGCGAAATACATTCAACGCTCAATGGCAGCGTTAACTTTTTTATCCCGCATCAGTCATTCGCTATCGGCTGGTCACAAAACTGACTCGGTATGTGTGAGTCATTGGGGCTTTTAACGCACTCGGCTACTGAGGCTATGTGGCGTCGCTGGCCTCCCACCCTGGCAGGGAAGGCAAACACCGCGCTAACACTACTAAACTACTAAACACCGCGCAAACACCGCAAACACTCAACACGCTATTTCTGCAAAAGACCCGATGGGTGAATTGGCATTGTTCAAAAAACGTTGGATTTTCTGTTAAATCTTTTGCAGGCTCTGCACCATGACGAATGAGAAAGCTTACGACCATTCGACGTGCATTACAATCCATCACTAAGCTATAACAAAAGGTAAACCGGTCTTGTATTGCAAATTTATTTACTTCTAAGCATCATTGTCTTTACATACAAATGCTTACATTTCAATATGCCCGCGCATTCCTATCCCAACCGTTGTTCGGAGCGTTGCCTCTATCACTCTCCAGCCATTCTGAACTCCTGACTGGCCCTCTCCACATACAGGCGTCCCTGCGGGCGGCACCGCCTCTGTCACTTCGGTCTGCCGCGACACTCTTATTCTCGTGCAGCTCGTCACTTTCGGCGACAGGCCGGGTGCGCTCGAGCGAGGCGGAAGTGGCTCACGTCCGGTCTGTCGCGCCTGAGCTCTGGCGACGTTCGTCGATAGTAACGACTGGCGCAGAGGTATCGAGTGCTGCCGGCCTTTCCGCACGTGTCGTCGGCGGCGTCGCGGCACAGCCTTGCGCCCGCACCGCGTCATGTTAGCGCGCCGCTTCGGCCCGATCGGCCTACCGACGCAGGTCGGTGACGGGTGGTCGCTGGCAGTCGGAGCGGGTGAGCGGGTGGCGGCGAGGTCGTGACCCCGAGCCTCGCCGCCGCCAGCTCTTTCAGCAGGGTTGGTGACCGCCGCTGCGGTGGCGGTGGGCCCGGAAACGCGCTGGAACGCTGATGGTGTCGCATAGCTTGGCGTCCTGATACTGATTTATTTGATCCTGTCTCTTACCCGGCCCGTGATAAATGTCCGCGTCGTATTGACATCCATTCTAACGCTGACATCTCGATCTGGGCGTGAATCCAGGAAGCTTGGCTCAAAATGAATATTGAAAAACGGACAGCAAAAAAGAATAAATATAGATAAAGACTACATTATTTCGACTGGGTGGTCAGCCGCATGAACGCACCAAATCAACCACAAGTGTGTGACAGGAGCTCAATAAACACAGAAGTCTCGTGGAAAGTGACATCACCACATCGTCATCGGCTGTTGTCAGTGCGGGTAAGTCCACGGAGGGTGTGTAGGCCTGATAGTGGCCGATTGCCCTGCGAGACGTCACACGTTCTGCGCCGCAGCAGCCGAGCCTGACGCCAGCCGCGGCGGCGACCTTGACAAGATGGCGGTGCGGCCGTGGCCTGTCAAGGGCTCCTTACCTAAGCCGCATTCGTTCCTCCTCGTTTAGCGCGTTTTCGACATTCCCGAAAAACAATGATTCTTCACATTGCTGCCGCGTGACATTGGCCGTTGACGTAATGGCCATTTGGGTTTGTCGTGCCATCTATTGCCTACCCATGCGTTCACAAAACACGCTCCAGCAGCCGTCGATAATCACCTCATATCTCTCCATATCACCAATAGTCGTAGGTGAGCGCGTGCAGCCGCGTGCTTTCGTGGTTACGGACGTGCATGGCCGCTAACGTGCCGCCCCGTTGCCCCGAACGCAGGTTGGAGCCGGTGTCTCACCTTCCAGCGGGTGGTCGTCGTCGAGAGCATCGTCCGAGTCGCGGCGAATGTGCCGGATCTCGTTCAGATACTCGACGAACTCCTGGCTGTTGTAGGTCTCCATGTTGTCCAGCGGGTCCTGCAGCACATTCGGCTAGTGTAAGGCGCTGGCAGGTTATCCTCAACGAACTGCCGCGCCTGGCACCAGTTGTCAACGGTCTGAGCCTGTGCACAGCCGGGAGCCAGCGGCTGTCTAAATCCAAAGTGTTTTTTTTTTCAGGTCAGATATTTCACGGAAACTGTAGTTTTCACAGCAGGTAGGCACGTACCACGGTGATGATTAGTCATGGGCAGTTGCTTTGAGACCCGTTCCGGAATGCAAGCCGCTGCGGTTTAAACAGTGATGGTCGATACCCTGACGATGCCGGCAATACGTTGTCCATACCGGTCAGTCAATGCTCTGTGTGTGAATGACCCTTCGTATTTTCATTTTTCGCTAACCATCAGTTCTGGGCTGTTCAGTTTAGTTGGGCGTTTACATTCGTTTCGAGGCTCAGAGAGGGCTCACTGAAGACGAGGAGAAGACGCTGAGGGGCAGCATTACTGCCGTCTCCAAATGAAACACAAACACGCCGCAGCCGTCCTACGGAACTCATTCACTGAGCATAGGCTGCAGCCGCGAGTAACACTCAGATGTCTGCGGACGCCTGGCAGCTGTCAACGACAGCACGGATAGCAAACCTGCACCGACATCACCATCAGTCGCAGCAGCTCCGCGCTCGAACCTGCACCCAACGAAATTCGGCGTTCAAATTCTCACAGTCCCATGCAGTGAGCAGTGGTCAGCAAACTGCCACATCGTCGCACCGACAGCGTTCGGAGGCGACCGCCACCGCCGAGCCATCTGCGGTCAGCCCGAGGCGACGCCCCGAGTCCGCCTGTTGTCCGAGAGAGAATAACCAGCTCTCGTCGTCCATGAAGGGCGGGCGGCAGGCTTCGAAGCGACTCCGGCCGCTGCCGCCGAATTGGTCGAAGAAGATCGGCTTAACAGTGCCAGAGCAGATAGCCGCGGGGCGCCGCCATCTAAACTCAAGTATGGCCCGCCGACTGTAGCGAGGACATATCGCAACTCCGATCGGCATGGGAGGCGGCCAACGAATATTTACAGTTGCAAGTGCTGCATACAAGTAATGTTAAACGTAAAATGAAAGCAAAAAACGCAGAAAGAACGTGGCGGAAAATGTGGTGATCACATGACACGACACACACAGGCTGAATTTGTATGATTCACAAGTCTGGGACAGCACCCGAAGTTCATCGGCTCGGTAGCTACATGGGAACCGAAATCTCCAGCACTAGGCCTGCTTGCACCGCACAAAAGGTCTGGCGAAACGCTATTAATCACCCCCTTGCTGGGTCACGCCGTCAAAACGGCGGCATCTGAGCGGCCAGAAAACGTCGTGGCGCTACACTCGCAGGCGGGGTTTGATCGATGCGCTCCTTGTCATGGGAAGACGCTGGGACGAAACAACGGCCGGATCCGGGAGATCGAGGCTGCGATGAGCCTCGGAGACATGAAGGCGCCCATGCCCCAAGTAGCGTGAATGTGCCGCTCGCGGCTCAACGCGGGAAACCGACCGGGGGAACCAATTACCGCGCCGGTCGCCTGTGGCCTGGACAGTTCAGCGGGGCGTTCATGAGAATTTAAAGCATCAAAAGTGAATCATAATACGTGGTTGGAGATTCGGTTATTTGTTCATACGAAGGTCAAATGCTCTGAGCGTGTAGAAATGCGGTCAGGTATTATGACAGACTCCCGCGCCATCGTTCACCGCTAATCATCGCCCAAAGCTCGGCGCCCTATGCCAGCAGGCGATGACGATATGGTGATAGCGATTTAACGAGATGTCTGTACAGAGATTACTTCCCGAAGAGAGGTCGCCGGCAAAACATCAATAACGTTCGGTCTCAGCGAGATGGAAGACGTGGCGTCGATCTCCAATAAAGCGCGCGCCACGCTGGGCGTTACGAAAGTGCCCAATTGGCCCCCGCACAGTTGCCCCGCCACCTCAGCCCGGTTACACAACTCTCGCCGGCGTCCGGGGGGTGCTGATCGACATCATTTGTCCTGTCATGTTACGCCAATTATCGCAGCCTGTCCGTCGACGAGTGTCCGTCTTCCTGGACTGAAGATAGGTGCATAATCAACACTCGTCGTCCCTCGACCAGCACCTCCCCTCCGAAGCGCGAAAGAGCCCCTCGTCCGACGTGCTGCAGGGACCGGCGCCAGCGAGCCGCCCGCCGCCCGCCGACACCCACCTCGGCCCATCCGTCCAGCCGCCGGCGCGCGGCACTCACCTGCGCCGGTTTGGCCGCCGGCACCTGGGACGGCACCGCCTCCATCGCCGCGGCTGACACACAAACGGAGCCGTCCGTCCGTCCGCAACGCGCCGTGCCGCCGTCGCCGCCGCCACTGGCCGTCGGGAGACGCGAGTTATCTGCCGTCGACGCGGCGCCGGCCGCCGGCGCGTTATCGCGCGTCCTTCTGTCAATAGCCCACGATCGGGCCAGCTCTGGAGAGGGCGCCGCGCACGCCCGACACTTGTTCGGGGCAAGGATGAGAATGCCGGGCCGTCCGACAGGAGTGGCCTCCGGAGAAATATGGGTGGGAGTCGATGAAAGCTTGGTCCGGCTTGGAGGCGGAGAGATTGTCCGGCCGGGCTGATACGCTGACGTGCTATGCCCGATAGTCACGGGGGCGGTTCCGGGCTTGGTTCGCTCTGCGCTGTACTTTTGCTATCGCATTGTGAAAGCGCCCGCTATCAGGAGCCTTTTCTAGATGAAAATGACAGAAAGGCTGGAAAATGTGCTATGTCCAGCATCACGTCGTGATTCGTATGATTTGATTGCAAGCAGCGGCCCACCGAGAAGATGTTTACCATTTGCCCAGCACTAAACTGTGGCAAAGGAGCAAACCGTGTCGCAATCCACACCAGGCAACGATCATTCCGGCCGAGCCGGCAGCTGGATGCACTACGCCGAGCGCGCCGCTGATTGCCTGTTTGCCCTTGTGATCTAATTATCGGCATCGGTTCAGCGGGCCCTTTGTTCTGGGGTCGGCCGCCAGAGGCGCCCTCGTCGACCGATACGCTGCGTCAGTCAAGCGGCGTAGAATGGGGAGGAAGCCATGCTCAGTCGCAATGATAGCGGCCGCCCCCGAACGAGGAGTGAGCACGCGGCCCAAGGCATGACCGACGGCTCGTCGGCGCGCGGCCCGCTCGGCCGACGAAGGTCGTCGGTCACGGGACCGGACCGGCTGCCGCCCCAGTCCGGGTCACGGGACCGGCCGGCTGCCGCCCCAGCCCGGGTCACGGGACCGGACTGGCTGCCGCCCCAGCCCGGGACACGGGACCGGACCGGCTGCCGCCCCAGCCCGGGACACGGGACCGGACCGGCTGCCGCCCCAGCCCGGTTCACGGGACCGGACCGGCTGCCGCCCCAGCCCGAGTCACGGGACCGGACCGGCTGCCGCCCCAGCCCTGGTCACGGGACCGGACCGGCTGCCGCCCTAGCCCGGGTCACGGGACCGGACCGGCTGCCGTCCCAGCCCGGGACACGGGACCGGACCGACTGCCGCCCCAGGCCGGGTCACGGGACCGGACCGGCTGCCGCCCCAGCCCGGGACACGGGACCGGACCAGCTGCTGCCCCAGCCCGAGTCACGGGACCGGACCGGCTGCCGCCCTAGCCCGGGTCACGTGCCCAGGCGAGGGAGTCGGCGGCAGCGCAATGTGCGCCAAGTAAAATGGGCCAGAGCCACCGCAGCGAGACATCACTAAACAACACACCTTAGTAAGATGCCGTCACATAAATCACACCAGGGCACGGGGCACGCCCACGCTTCACCTAGCTCGAGCAAATAATCAATCCTGAGCAGAAACATTAGTTACGAAACTGCTTAACCACCTTCAGCCGCGGTACGTTTGCTCAGAAGAGTCGCCCGTGCTCACCAGTGATTAGTGATCTCCTCGTGCTCCCATGGCGATACCGCTGCCGGAGCGCATGTCCAGCTGTAGTTCTCGTCCATAAACCAAATTAATGGGCATACGTTGCATGCCTTGCACGACAAAGCAGCGGTCAATTGCCCGCCCGGCCAAACATCAGCCAGAACCTGCTCCGCCCGGTCAAACAGCAGCCAGAGAGCCAGCTCCGCCCGGTCAAACGGCAGCCAGAGCCTGCTCCGCCCGGTCAAACAGCAGCCAGAGAGCCAGCTCCGCCCGGTCAAACGGCAGCCAGAGCCTGCTCCGCCCGGTCAAACAGCAGCCAGAGAGCCTGCTCCGCCCGGTCAAACGGCAGCCAGAGAGCCATCTCCGCCCGGGTCAAACAGCTGCCAGAGAGCCTGTTCCCCGGGCGCTATCTCCCAGCCCGAGTCGATCTTCTGCTGCCAGCACAGGCACCCCACATTCCTCGCCACGCGGGCGCGGCTCTGCGGCTGCTCACCGAGGCGGCCCCGATCAGCTGTTGATGGCTGCAAGGCCGCGCGAGGCCTCGAGGCCCCATTCCGCTACTGGTCTGCGTCGTGGAGCCGCGCGCTGGCGGTCCGCGCCCTCTCCTCCGCCGGGCCTCGGTAGGACGCGCGGCTCTCGCGGCTAGCGCCGGCAGCCGATGGGGCCGCTTCTGGTGCAGCACGGCGTGCCGCGTCTCGGGCGCGCGTCGCTGGGGGCGGTGACCACGCCGCGTGCACGGCGGCTGTTGCTGTGCGCAGGCGCAGGCGGCAGGACCGAGGTGACAGCGCCGCGTCGGCAGGCGCGCGCCGCTGACTCCGCGGGCTTGTGCGTGCGGTTGCGTCCTCGGCTTGATAAGAGCAGTGCAGCGGCTGCCTCCATTTCAGTCAATCATTCCACCGGGCTGAACTTTCACTGATTGTGTCAGGCACCTTATCGGTGCCGTGTATCGCGCAGGCTAGCCCAACAACAGAAAGGCCTTGGGCGGCCGTGGGTCGACATTGCAGTGCTCAAGTTTTGTTTATAATTTCAATCTTGCTATCTTTGTAAGGTAGATATAGTATTGGCATCCTCATCTGTGGAACAATTATGTCAGGGGACAGCAAAACACCAGTCAGAATCCCGAAGGCTGCGAATGTGCCGACAATTTAGCACATTTAAAATAGAGCCAAACGTGTAACAAGGACGCATTGCCGTATGCATTGGGTAATGGTCTGAGCTGGTCCGGTTGAGCTCAGTGAACAGACTCAGATGTGTCTGGCACCATGGGGAAGACGATTGGCACACTATCTGACACTCCAGGAGTCGCCGTGGTGCCAGCCCATCACAGCGTCCATGGTGAAAAGTAAACTTTGCGGACATATTCCAGCGTAAGGTTTAAGCGGCAATTGAAAAGAAAGATACAGCATTACATACAGGGACTATGGCAACTTCCGACGCGAGCAATGTGGACTATGAAAGGGCCTTTTCGGTGTTTTCGTAGAACGTCGGCCATCATACTGTATTTCTCAATAATTCCTTAGGTGCAATCCACCAGTGTGTTGCATCACAATTAAGTACAGCATGTCACCACCAAGAAAACCTGTCGACCCTAGCCAAAGAGCGATGCCACACGTGGCGGCCCGGCGAGCCGCCACACTGCAGCGCAGGCTCCAATCGCTCCTGGGGCCGGCGCCTCCCGCAGAGCCGGGCCGGCGCGTCAGCTGACCGGCGCAGATGGCCGCCGCCGGTCCGAGGCATCGACGAGCGGACGCGTCACCCGGCGCCGCGGGGCGCCGGCCCGGCAGACGGCGCGTCGACCGCGGAGCGGCGGCCGCCGACAGGCGCCGTTTAGCCGGCCGGCGGCGGCCAATGCCGCGCCAAACCGCCCGGCGCGCCAGCGGCACGGCTCGTTAGCACCGCCGGTGTACGCAAACGTTGGCCACCGTTCACAGGAGCGGCCGGCGGCGGCGGCGAGCGGCGCGGACACGCCCCGGTCGTTGCCCGCGCGTGCGGCTTCGTCGACCGGCTCATCCGTGGTGACGGTGGCTTCTCGCTCGAGATGGCGGTGTCGTGCCGAGGCCCGACAATGCCTGCCAAGGCTCCGGCTGCAGGTAATGCAAAAACACGGGCTCAGGGGCTGCCAGCGAGCTCTGAATACGCATATGCTTGGCCACGGAGCTCAGAGGCTGCCGGGGAGCTTTGGCCACACTTCTGCTGGGACAAGGGGTTCAGAGGCTTCCGGAGACCTTTGACTGCAGATAATCCGCCCGGCGCGGCACCCAGAGGGCATCTGAGCCGCCCGGCGCGGCACCCAGAGGGCATCTGAGCCGCCCGGCGCGGCACCCAGAGGGCAGAGCAGGGCGCTGCCCGGGCGCGGCGCTCTGAGGCGCCCCCGTCGGCGCGTTCCGGCCGGACGCCTTCCAGGCCCGCGGGCGCCGGGCGGCGCCGGCCGCGCCCGCGCCGGGAGGAAATCCCGGCGCCTGGGGCGCCGCTCGCCCGGGGGCCGGGGAGCGGCGGGGCTGTCGCGGCCGGTGATGCGTGGTGGGTACCTTCCTGCGCTGTGGCCTCGCCGGCGACGGTCGGCTGCGTCCAGGCGCCTGCCGAGGTACCACCCGCCCAGTGGGCCCTAGTCTCAGGAGCTGGGAAGCAACCAGTGGGGCCTGTCCGGGCAAATGGGATTTGACTAGCGAGGCCCAAGATCAACCCCAATGATCCCACAGAGAGACGTTGTATTGCTCTCGGGCAACTTATCTCAGACTTTTCATGGGCGGCTGAATGAGAATCGGACCTTAGCGCACTTTTTAACCAATTTCCGGACGGCGTTGCGATTTCTATGCTAATTAAACCTCGCAAGCTAACAAGAACAGCGCTACGACCCAGTCCCGGAAGTGCTTGGCGACGTTCGATCTTTTGGCTTTTTTATCAAGCTGTCAGACTCCACAGATGACGTTTCGTCTTAAATAGAATATCGGCAATCAATTCAAGAGATGCTATCATGACGAATGGACCACCCTCAGGGCAGACTGCGACCTTCAGACGACTGACACTAAACGGAGGCCAGTAATTTAGCAGGTGACGGTAACGCGCCGGCAAAATTCATATCCTTGGCAGGTGCAGTTCGCGACGCTCGGGCTAGGTGCAAGGCCACACAGCTGTAAATCACGCCGGCAGACCTGAACAGGAAACTCTCCATGGAAACGTACCGGATGTCAGGCTTGAGCAGCCGATAATGTGATGACACATGCCAGCTCGCTTCGCGGAAACGACAAGCTAACTCGGGGGGCCGGTGTTGAAAGGGAACCAATTCTCCAGCAAAAAAAAACTGAATTCTGCGTGCAAATCGGTTGTTGGTAAGGAGGCTCACAAGTGAGCTCGCGATTTTTGATGCTTTCAGCCGAATGCTTATTTTTGGCAAGTACTAGGACGATTTGAGCGCGACAAGCGACAATCCGGGTGTTGACGAGGAGAATGCGGCAGGAGCGGGGGAT